TTGGGGAGGGTTATTATGGGATGGGGACAGTCTGGGGGGGCCGGGGATGGTCGCGGTCATTATGGGACAGAGACGATCATTATGGGATGGAATCTCTTGGGTTTGGGGTGGGTTCCTATAGGGACCGGCCCTATGGGATGGCGGCAGCATTTATGGGATGGGGAGCATCTCTGGGGATTGGGGGCAGCCATAATGCGATGTGGGGGGTTATTATGGGATGGGGGGGGGCATTATGGGATGGGGGCGGACAGAGCCTATGGGGTGCGGATGGTCCCCAGAGCTTGGGGAGGGTGGCTGTGAGATAAGGACGGTTATTATGGGATGGGGGCGGCGATTATAGGATGGGCGCGATCGTTATGGGATGGGGGCGGCCATTATCGGATGGGGCTGGTTATCATGGGATGGGGATTGCATTTGTGGGATGGGGCCGGTCCTTATGGGATGGCAAGGACTATTATGGGATGGGGATGGTCATTACATGATGCAAACGGTCATTATGGGATTGGGGCGGCCTTGATGGAATGGGGCCGGTCTTTATGGGATGGCAAAGTCCTTATGGGATAGGGATGGTCATTATGGGATGGCAAAGGCCTTTATGGGATGGGGCCAATCCTTACGGGATGGGAAGGACCATTATGGGACGGGCTCAGTCATGATGGGATGGAGATGGTCATTATGGGATGGGGACGGTCATTATGGGATGGAGACGGTCGTTATGGGATGGGGCCGGTCCTTATGGGATGCCAAGGGCCTTTATGGGACGGGATCGGTTACCATGGGATGGGGCCGGTCCTTATGGGATGGGAAGGGGCGCTATGGGATGGGAAACGCCGTCATGGGATGCGGCCGATCATTATGGGATGCGGCCGATCGCTACGGGTGCGCACAGCCGCGCGCCGTGCCCCCACCCTCCCCTCCAGGCCCCGAGGCGCCGTTGAATGGCGGCTCCCCGCTCCCCCCGCTCCCCGCCGCCGCCATCGCGCCCCCTCCGCTCCCCCCCATCCCCTCCCCGCCCCATCCCGTCCTCCTCGGGCCCGGATGGCGGCGGATGGCGGCCGCTGCCCCCTCTCTCACCATGGCGGCGGCCTCCGCGCTCCTCCGGAAGAGACAGAGAAAGGGAGCGGAAGTGACGTCAGCGGAAAGCGACTCTAGCACCGGAAGTGCTCTCCGGAGGGGGGGGTTGAGAACGTGCCGGAATTCCGCCAGCTACGGTAGCGGAAGTGGCGTCAGAAGGAGAGCGCCGGAAGTGGCGCTGAGAGGGAGAGCGCCGGAAATGGAGGAAACCGCAGAGATGGCGGAGGCGGAGGAAGAGCTGGAGCTGGAGCTGGGGCTGGACGGGGTGGATGGTGAGGGGGGGTG